GTATACATCAAGTTACAAACACCATCACAGAAGTTATTTCATTGCTGAACTATATAAACTTATGGTGAGGCACAGGCTTACATCAGTAAATTAATCTCAACTGAAAGCAGGAATAAGGCTGCTAAGCTTGCACAAGTTCCCCTGCACAATGAACCAAGATGGCGCTGGCACAGTAGGTAGGCGTTCAGTCTTGTCACAGCTTGTCCTCTCCAGCCGGCAACATCGTTTTCTCTATGCACTTTTTGTTTTTTCTTTTCTTCTTCATTTTCAACGCCAAAGCAGTGTCAGCAGGGTGGTGCTCCAGCGTCAGTGGTGTGGGACAGGACTCGTGGCAGTGCTCGGAGCCTGGATGTGGCAGTAGGCTCGAGTGAGGATTCTTGGTGACAGTAGGCCCAGAGCCTTAAGTCAGGGCGACATCAGTGAGGCAGTGGCAGCAGCAGAGCCGGGGTCTCCTGGGGCATTGGCATCGTTGTTGCTGTTCCCAGAGCGGGACTTTGCGAGGACCGGAACACATTGCAGAGATATTGCAGAAGCCTTGATTTTGAGATCCCAATTTGAACAGAACATGAACTCAATTATTTAAAGTAATTTCTTTTTATCCTTATTGTAAGACTAAACAGCACCGGATTGTGGTGACAAAATGCTTTTCGTTGTATCTTCAAGATACATGCAACAATAAAATCATTCATTTATTCACGCTGAAGTGAAACTGCGCAAGTATTCCTGCTCTTGATCGGTATGCACCCATGTCTATTGTCAAGATAAGGTAAAACTGGATTGTGATACCTCAAAGTAAGTAACTCGAGTGCCATTTCACTGAATGATTGCCCTCCTTGAAACACAACCCGGTGTCAACATCTTCAAAACAGCTAACAATAAAATGAATCAAGTAAATTATGAGATTAAGAACTTGAAGGACAACAATGGATATACCGTATGAAAGACAGCCAATCTACCTTAATACAGGATCAGGTGGAAATCTTGTATGGAACTTTGAATTAGTGAACCAACAGATTTTAATTGCCAAGCTTCTTTTGAATGTTATTGGTCAACTGATTGACTATTTCTGCTGCAAAGATGAGAAAGTTACATCAGAAGGTGGCCGTCAGCAAAAAGATATTTTTCAACTGAAAGTGAATCTCTGGGGGAAGAGGAGCGAGCCATTGGTTGCAGGGACATGGACCTTTCTTGTGGGGCCATAAAAGTACACCTGTTCCTCCTGCCTCCACTCAAAAGTTTCCTTTGAGGGTACCCCACTTTCTTGACAGCTTGACTAAGCTTAGTGGCCCTACTGAGGAACAAGTTAAAATGCCAGAATCCAGAGTATATCATTAGATCGAGTGAGGCACTTAGTTCTGGAAGGAGAATCAAATACTGCAAAACCTATCTGCATTAACCAACAAGCCAGCAGGAATACATAGAGAATTTAACCTGTTCTATCTTGACCTACTCCAATTTTAAGTACTTACTACTTTTATTCCCAATAAACCAAGAGATTTAAATTTATCCCCAGTGATTTGGATGTTCTTGGAACCAAGAAAATACAACTGAGTTTAAGTAACAAGAGTTGCAACATTAAATGACATTCAGTCACATTGAATACAAAGCAACAGTTCTGTTGATCATAAGTGCATGAACACAACAACAGATTGATATTAGCTAATACATGTCCAATAGCATTCATTGAGCCACATTATACAATGAAACTGGTGTTGCCAACAAAGACCAAGTAACAAAACCAAAAAACAAGTACTGGAATAACATTAGCTTTAGATAACAAGACTTTAGTCAAAATATTATTTCAAACACAACATAAATTTTGCGACTGGGGTCAGGATTTTCAATATTGTGGTGAATACCTCAAGTCCTTACTCAGCAGAACCAATTCAATATAACCTCCAATGTATCATCTCCAATAACTAAGCTCAGTTTTCAGCTGACTGTATCTGAGGAAAAGAATTGCAAAGACTAAAGTCATGGTTTAATGGGCAACAATGATCTCAGAGCTACTAAATTGTTCAGAGACCTGGAAACCTCACAGTGGGCACATTAAGGCATTGGAGAAGTACCATCAGCGGTACCTCTACAAAATCCTCCAAATCTGGAATGAGGAAAGACAGTCCAACAGCAGCATCCTCTCCCAAGCTAATTCACCTCGCATCAAGGTGCTAATCACTCAAAACCAGCTCTGGTCAGCAAACGTTGTTCACATTCATGATACCAGAATTCCGAGGAAACTCTTCTTCTCTGAACTTGGTTGCAGCACAAGACTCCCAAGTGAACAGTGTAAATGTTTCAGAAATGTCCTCAAAACATTCCTGAAAAAGTCAAACAGCCACTAGAATTAATGACAGTTGTACTTCAAGGTTGTAACAAACTAAAATGGAAAGGGAGAGTTCATTTGGAAAGGTACCAAAGACATTGAGAGACTTTGCCAGAAACATGCAGAGGCAAAATTGAGGCCTACTAAGAACTCATCCACCCAACCATTCAAATACTATCCATGTCACACATAACCAAGTCTGTGGATTTGGCATCACATTAATCAGCTATGCCAGAAAACTTGGAAACATGTAATTTTCCTATCCTGAGGGATTGCTCGGGAGATTTGTTCCACAGGGCTATGACTTTGACCGTGATCGCCCTCACTTGTTACTTGTATCATAGATATGCAGTATTTTGTTTCTATTAGTCAACTTCAAATCTCAAACCCATGCAGTTTCATTGTGGTACCTCTGCATGCCACAAGGAAAGTGGTGGTGTCACGGTGCTGCTGTTGTACAGAAATTTAGAGATCCAGGTAATGTTCTGATAGCCTAGGATTCTAGGCCCACAATAGCATATGCTTGAATTTGAATTCAATTTTAAAAATCTGAAAGTTAAAAAAGTCTAATAATGACAATTAATTATCATAAAAACCTATCTGGTTTGCTAATCTTCTTTAGGGAACAAAATCTGCTGGCCTGACCAAGTCTGGCCTACACGTGACTCCAGACACACAGCAATGTGGTTGACTTTTAACTGCCCTCTGAAATGGCCTCGTATGCCATTCAATTGCAACAACCTTTGAAAAGTCAAAACAGAATGCAATTGGATGGACCACTGTGCGTCAACCACAGCACCAGAAATGACAATGGCAAATCCACAGTGTTGACCTGCAAGTGCCTTTTCACCAACATTTAGGAACTATTGCCAAAAATCGGAGAACTTTTTCATGACTACTCAAACAACAGAATCAAAAATTTGATTTGATTTATTGTTGCCATATGTACCCAAGTACAATGAAAATTTTTGTCTTGCGAGCAGTACAGGCAGATCATAGCAAACAAGGACATACAGATCATAGGGTGCTTAGACAGAACGAGGCAAACAAGGTTACAACTGCATAGGAGGTACATGAAAGCGAGGTCAATATTAGATTTGAAATTAGAGGCACCTGTCTAAGGTCATACTTGTGAAATTATACCTTACAGACAATGTTCCAAACAACACTATTCCTGGGTAGGACGCATCTAACCAGCAGGACAGACCTAGCAAAGATGGCAGAACAGAGGTATTCACAGTCAGGGTAAAGTAGCACTTGGAGTCACCAACATTGCCTCTGGTCCTCATGAAGTTTCATGCATCAATCTAACCATCGCCCCTTGACATTCAATGGCATCATCATCACCGAATCCCTCACTATCAACACCCAAGGGGTTACCATTGATCATAAAACTGAACTGAAACTAATCATATAAGTACTGTGGCTAAACAGCAGGTCAGAGGCTAGAAGTCTTGCAGCAAGGAACTCATTTTCTGACTCCTCAAAGCCTGTCCACCCTAAAAAAGGCAGAAGTCAGGAGTGTGATAGAATAATCACTGCTTGACTGGAGGAGTCCATCCAGGACAAAGCAGCATTCTTGAATGAAATAATAACTATGGAGATTGCTTTGGTTAAGGGGATGGGTGTTAAATATCCAAAGTTCACTTTGTTTCTCACCATAAAAATATTCACTGGTTGTGAAATGTAAAAATGCTTAAAAATAAAATTGTTATTCTAATGACAAAAAAAAGAGATATCTATAATAA